AAAAGAATCTTATTTAGTTGTACAAAGTACTTCAGCCAAAATTTGGGAGCCACGTAAGAGAATTATATAGATTAGATCAGAAACACATCATTAAAAGGCAGAATGCTTTGGTGTTTTCAAAACGTAAACAAATAAAAGCAAACGTTCCAAAGGCGGAAAAGAAATACAGCCAAAATTTGGGAGCCACGTAAGAGAATTATATATAATAGATAATTTGCTACCGCTTTATTAAAACTTCTCCAGAAATTTGAACACTCCAGCCCGTCAATTTCATGGGAGCGAGAAGGAAGGAATAAAAAAGAAGAAAAATTAGAATTTTCTTCGACTTCTTCCAAATTTTAAAATTCCCAATTTCCAAATTTCTATGACGTCATCAACATGAAAAACTCATTAAATTACTTGCTTTCTTTATTGCATTAGTTTTTTGTCACAAAGAAAAAAATTCGCAAATGCTTCAAATTCCATTCAAATCTTAAAAATTAAAACTATACAACCGTCAAAAAACACATCAGGAAAAATTTATTTAATTACATGATTTCCTTGTTGCATTTGTTTCTTGGTTACAAAGGAAAAATTTAGTATATGCTTCCAATTTCTTTAACAATTAACACTATGCAGTCATCAAAAGCACATTAGAAAAACTCAATTAATTATACGATTTCCTTATTGCATTTGTTTTTCGGTCACAAAGGGAAAAATTAGTATATGCTTCGAATTTTCTTAAAAATTAACAATATGCAGTCATCAAAAGCACACCAGGAAAAACTCATTTAATTTTTTTTATTTCTTTATTGCATTTGCTTCTTGTTTTCATAGGAAAAAATTAGTATATGCTTCAAATGTCCTAAAAAATTAATACTATGCAGTCATCAAAAACACATCAGGAAAAATAAATTAATCATTTGATTTCCTTAATGTATTTGCTTCTTGGAAAAAATTAGCATATACTTCGAATTTCCTTAGGAACTAACACTATGTAGTCATCAAAAATACATCGAAACAAGTTCTTTATCCCCTGAGTATGAATTTCACACCAGGTAGCGGCAAGCATGTCGGTATCTACAGAGGCTATTGCTGTTGTAATTCTGACTTTTAGGTCATCAATTTTCAAAACGATCTTCCTGTAAACATTGTCCTTTATAAATCCCCAAAGAAAAAAGTCCAGCGGCGTTATATTAGGTGATTTGGGTGGCCAAGGAATTGGACCTCCTCGCTCAATCCATCTTCCTGGAAAATGGTCATTCAAAGAACTTCGATCGATGATAGCCCAATGAGGTGGTGCACCATCTTGTTGCAAAAAGACATGTGGCTGAAGCTCTTCTAGTTGTGGAAATACGAAGTTTTCCAACATGTCTAAGTATACGACTGATGAGACCGTCTTTTCTGTAAAAAAAAGGCCTAATGACTCAGTCGTGCATTAGTCCACACCACACATTAACCTTTGGGGAATTCCTTTGTGTCTCTCGGTATTCATGGGGGTTTTCAGATCCCCATATGCGCACATTATGGCAATTAACAATGCCAGAAACACCCATTTTGATGTTTAATAACTCATAACGCTTACCGCTACTTGGCGTGAAATTGACTATCGACTTGATATTTTCCGTGCAACAAAGGGAAAGTTCATTGACAAGGGTCATGAAACTTTTTGAGTCTATCTAACCATTTATGTTATTAATTTTAAAACTATCTTTATTATTTTATGAGTTATTAATCATCAAAATGGGTCCGGGACTTTATAAACACCCTGTACTTCTATTTCTTTCAAATCTTAAAAGTTAACACTCTTCAGTCACGGAACGAAAAGTATGTCTATAAACAGAAACGACAATATGCATAAATATTTTATTAAAATATGAATAAGATCGTTCTCTGTGTGTGTTTGTGTATAAATAGTTCATAATTGATATTTAAATAAGTGTATCTTCATACGAAATGTTTAAACATAAAGTTACTTATTTAATAAAAATGCATATTTTTGTCAGTAAACAATCTCTATTTTTTATAAATGCCATTCTTTTTGAAAAATAGATTTTTATTTTTTGTACAAAACACATTTCAATATACTTCATCGATTTCATCCAAGTAAACAGAAGTGTAACAATATCAGTTCTAGTTTCTTCAATTTGTAAGTTCTTTGAAAGTAATGATAGATATCTTTATTGATGAGCATTTTTTAGCTTCTTAATCTTTGTCTTCGTCTTGTGGCTTCGGTAATCTTTGAAGCACACCTTTTTTTCCATCAAGCAAAACATAATCACCTGAAAGGTAAAAAAAAGGAATGCACTATACATTTGTTACTTTCTAAAAATAAATACTAAATTCGAATTCAACTGCGGCGTCTGGTTTGAAAAAAAAACTACAAAGGTGGGAATTTTAATAGTAGGAACTTTGGTACATGGTAATTATAACTGTAGCAACACTGGTACACGGTAACTATAACTGTAGCAACACTGGTTCATGGTAACTATAACTGTAACAACACTGGTGCATAGTATATACACCATGTAACCTAAATGAATAATGTTAGTTATATCACACGTTAATTACATACCTACCTGACCTCCCACCACTCGAACTTTACCCTCGAACATCAAGCGCAAGCGCACTGACGCAGCGAACAGAACTTTGAGCTTCCTGGAGCTCTTTTGTATAGTGACATGATGTTTTCGAAACAAGAACAATTAAATTGGATAAAAATTGAATGTGCCAAGGACTGTACAAGTATATCAATGTCATCAAGTTCTTAAAAAGGCGAAAGATTAACCTGACTGATGTAGATAAACTAGGACATTTATTCTAGAGTCTAGCGAAGAATCTTTATTGCCTTACAGAACAGTAAAGAAAGTTAATGAAATTCTTCAACGAGGTATAGTTCGTTCAACAGGAGTTGGCAGTTGGCTCCACCCTCATCACGTGGTATCCGACGACACTATTTCGCTGTTTTTGGGAGAAGGATGTGAACAATACTGAACAAGGTTGCTATTTGGGGATCATATGACTAAAGTATTTATTTCGCAATCTTAATGTGCATTTTTTTAACATTAAATATTTCATAAATTTGATATTTCTTTCTTATGAGTGAATAGTTTGTCCTTTCCGAGACATTCTGGTGGGAAAAACAGCAGTTTTCAAATTTAAAACTATTAGCGTTTGAAGCGTATTAGGGGTTATCTCATTTTCAAGAGCGGAGATATTTCTCCTCCTTCTCTTGCGCTGAAATAAACTTTGCGTCCGAGGAGGTACAGCCAAATGCCAACTCCTGGTGAACGAACTATACGCCAAAATGTGGCAGATATGCCTCAGCCAGGTTGTCTAGAGTTGTCCAGGTCTCGTTAAAATTGTACACCACCCCATTCGAGCTACCACAGAACAGATGCGTCTGAAGGTATTCCGTATCGCTATCAGCATTGCTGTTTTCGTTACATAGTTTTAATATTTGAAGGACTTGACGGAATATAATGATATACTTTTCAGTCCGTCATAAAACATATTTTAATGCATTTTTAGTGAAAAATGTTAATTAAATCTAAAATAACAACTATTTAATGAAAATGTTCATTGCAATAGAGAAGTTATTATAATTTTTAAATTAAACTCTTAGTATTTATACATACTTCAAAAGAATTCCACTACTTTTATTGCATACCTGTTTTAAACTGCTTTGTGGCTCCTCGAAGTCCAACAACGCAAGGAAGTCCATATTCTCTGCTTACAACAGCACCTTTATTAAAATTCAACAAGCATTATTTTTTGAATTCTTATTTTAAACAATGAACCAGATTATTGTTTTAAGTCTACATATTGTCCATTCCTTTCAGTGAAATTTATTTTATTTGTTTCATCTTACATGAAACAATATGCTTAGGTGAAAAAACTAAATGTTTAAATTTTATATTCTTTGCAAGTCCAATTTTCAATTTTAAATCTGTAGCATTAAACATGGAATGATTAAAATAAAAGCTAATATATTTTCCATACTGTTTTCATTATTTTGTGATAATTTAGATCAGAATAAAGGAAAAGTATTATTCTTAGCGTTTTAATAATTTATAGCTATGAAAGATAACAAGAAACACCGGTCTTTTTTTTCTGCATTAAAGTTAAAATCTTCCTAACGCGGCTCACTTTCAAACAATAATTTATCAA